TTAAAAAAAAAAAAAAAAAGGCAAACTCATCTATAGTGATCAGTGGTTGCCTGGCTGAGGTGGAAAGGGATTACAAAGAAGCACAAGGAAACTTCTGGGGGTAAGAGATATCTTTGCTATCTTGACTGTGGTGATGGTTCCATGGGTGTATACATATGTCAGTATGTCAATACCTGTCAAATTGTGTAGTTTTTTAAAGATTTTATTTATTTATTTGACAGAGAGAGAGCAACAGAGCACAAGCAGGAGTGGCAGAGGGAGAAGCAGGCTCCCTGCTGAGCAAGGAGCCAGATGCAGGGCTCAATCCCAGGACCTGAGATCATGACCTGAGCTGAAGGCAGACGCTTAACCAACTGAGCCACCCAGGCGCCCCTCAAATTGTTTATTATGTGCAGTTTATTTTATGCAAACTACATTTCAATAAGGCTATTTTTTTTTAAAAAAAGCAGCCATAGGTTAAACTGTATAGTGCATAAATTTCAGATCACATGTGGCCCTTTATAGTAAAAAGCCAAAGAGTTAATAATTTACAATCAATCTCCATATTGTAAAGCAATAATCTTAGGACTTACTTTCTATCACAAAAACTCCTGTCAAGATTCTAGATTTACATCTATTAGATCAGATTCTGAACCAATATATAGCAACCTGGTTTTGCCAGGATAACAGAACTAGATCTAGAGACTGCCAATCTACTATCTGCAGAAGAATTATTCTCACAAATTGCAATTGGTATCTCCTATGTACCCAGTTCTGAATTACCCTGTTTTTAAATTTCCATTAAAATTGTTGCCTAGGGCACTGCTCCTTCATTAGGCAAAACACATCCCCCATAGACCTTATTCTTCAAACTCCCATTCATTTCAGCTCCTACTGTATCTCTGGTGTTAATTTAGGTTATGACTTTTGAAATTTTCTTCATCCCTGATATAAAGTGGTTGGACTAGGTGGCCTCTTTAAAATTTATGAGTCTAATCTTTTATTTGGCATATATTGTACTATGTGCTACACCCTAAGAGGGATGCAGAGATGAACAAAATACGTCCCCTGCATTCAAAGGATTTTCAAACCAGAAGTAAACACATAAAGAACTATAATATAATGCAACAGTGACAAGTATCATTAACAGAAATAATGATAATGCCTCTCAGGAGATCTGAGGACCAGTCACTTGAAACTGGAGTGGCCAAGTGAGACTTTTTGGAGGTGACAGCACTTTACCTGGGCTTTCAAGAATGGAAGAATTTGGAGAGAGGGAGGGCATTTCAGTTAGAAGGACATGCATGAACAAAGTTAGGAAAGTGCCAAGTCATGCTCAAGGGAAAGTAAATGTGCCACATGGTAGCTGAAGCAGATGAAATATTTGTAGAGGAGTGGAGGGAAAAGATGAGGCTGGAAAAGTAGGATGGAAATATACTGTACCGGCCCAAATGCCAGAAAAAGAAGTCATAATTTCATACTGTAGACAATGGGAAACGATGGCAAAGATTTGAGACAAATAACCCAAGAAGTTAACTGGTTGCTGTGTGGGAAGAACGTGCTGGACAAAGAAGCTTAAAGGTAGTGAGTCAGACTAATAGCAAGAGACCCAGCAAGAGGGAGAAAATGAGGGCCTGAATTAAAGAGGACAGAAAAGAGATATTTCATAGGCAGAACCGGAAAATGTTAACTAATGGATTTAATGAAGCAGAACATGTATAAAAAAGGGAGGAATCTCAGAAGGATATAGCCAAGAAAGCCCCCTGAAATCACCCAGTGTTGATCTAGTTAAGATTTTTTTACCGTTTCAAGTAGAAGGATCACTTTTACATTTCTGGATCACAAAACATTTGTAAAATTAGGAGCTCCAGTGGCGCAATCGGTTAGCCCGCGGTACTTATACAAAGTGCTTTTTAATCAAACAGTACAGATGTGCATAAAATGAAAAAAGTTGCCATCCCAAGTCCCACTTCTGCTTTAATAGTTCCTGCTGTACCTTTCAGATATTATCAGTGTTCTACTAGTCTGTGTAGTGGGGAGGGGGGACGGCGATTGAAATCCTTAAAAACATTACACATAATGGAATCATAAACTCCTACAATTTTCCTTTTTCATTCAACAAGATATATTAAGAGATTTTTCCATGTCCACATACATAGATCTACCTCAATTCTTCTACTAGCTGCACAGGGTTACACAGTAGTAATATATCATAATTTATTTCCAACCCCTTTTAATGGATATTTAGGTTGTTTCTAGTTTTTTGCTGTCACCTTCTGTTATGCAGCTTTCTCTGTATACAGGACATTTTGAGTGCGAGCATACCTGCCTGTTCCATGCCTACGGATCAAAAGATACGTGAATTTAGAATGTGGGTGGACCTTGTCAAATTGCCAGGATAGGACCCATTCTTAAGAGGAAAGAAAGTCACGAACCCGTACACATGACTGCGGAGCCTCCTTCTAGGTGGGCAACCTCCCTTTCCCTCTCCAATTCCTATTTCAAGGATGAAGGCAGTGAGGCCGGGCGACGGCCAGGGGCACACAACTCGGAGGCTGGACTTGAGCGCCGTGTCTGGCCTCGCGACCCAGGGTCCCTCCCGCTAAAGTGTCAGCGACTTCTTTACCCTCCCTGCGACTGGGGAGAACCCTTCCCCTCCTCCCAGCCACCCTCGTCTCCATGCTTGGGGTCGTCTCACCGATGGTTCTCGTTGAGCAGGGAGAAGAGCGGGCCGAGGCGCAGTTCGGCCGCTAACTCGCGGAGCTCGCTGAGCGGCACGGTCTGCAGCACCGAGTGAAGCGCGCGCAGCTCCTCCAGCGGCGCTTCCAGTCGCGACACCTCCCTCAACAGCGCTAGCGCCTGGGCCGCCATCGTGCTCCTCCCGCCCCGGCTCGCGGCTCCGCCGGCTCCCGGCTCCCGGCTCCCGGCTCCCGGCGCGCCGCTCCGGGCCTCGCGAGATTTGCGGGGCGCAGCCTCCCTTCCCGGGGTTTCCGCCGGGACTGCGAGCTGCCCCGGCCGCACCAATAGCAATGTGGGGGCGGGCGGGCAGCGCGCGCGCTCCGCGGCCGCCAAGCCTCGCGAGACGGAGGCCGTCACGGGCCGGGCCAACTGTCGCCGCTGGTTACGGGGTTGCGGCCGGGTGTCATCGTGGGCGCCGCTTGGTGGGTCGCGGAGGCCGACTTTCCGGTCGCCTTGCGTATTTCCCTCAGAGAGCGAAGGCGCGTCAGATGCCCGGCAAGCGGAGTGGTGACAATGAGGACCCACAGAAGGTTAAACGGCCTCGCGGGCGGCCGCCCGGTCCCAAAGCCAGGCTGTCGGCTGCGGCGAGGGCGGCGGTGGTGGAGGCCGCCGCGGCTTGGGCAGCGGCCGAGGCCACCCCAGGCGGCGCGGAGGCTATGGGCATCCTGCTTCCGGGCCAGACACGAATCAAGAGGAGGCGGAGGGTCATGCCTCTGGAAGACAAGATGAAAATTCTCGAGAAGCTGGAAGAAGGCGTGAGTAACACCGACGTGGGGCGCCTGTTTGGCGTCAACGAGTCAACCGTGCGCACCATTAAGAAAAACGAGAAGGCCATCAGGGCCAGCATGGAGAGTGTTTCGCCGGTGTGCTCCAAGGTGCTGTGCATTCCCCGTGACGTAAACATCGAGAAGATGGAGACCGAGTTAACCTTCTGGGTGGAGGACCAGACCATAGGGGGCCGGCCTCTGACGCTGAAGGCCATCTGCAGCCAGGCCAAACGCATTTACAAGCAGCTGGTCGAAACCACTGGGAACGGCAACCCGGATAAGTTTCATGCGAGCAAGGGATGGTTTGAGAAGTTTAGAAATCGCTACAGTCTGCGAAATTCGAGGTTGATGGGGGAGGAAGAACCCCTGAATGCCCAGTCGGCACCGAAGTATTCCAAACAACTCCAGAGACTGATCAGAGCCAGAGGCTATGTGCCTCAACAGGTCTTCAACGCCGAGGAGATGAGCCTGTTTTGGAAGTGCATGCCTTCACGTACTTTTAGGGAAAAAGACAAAAATCCCGAAAGCTTAGAGGAAGCTAAGGACAGGATTTCCCTCATTTTTTGTGCCAACGCCGCCGGTGACAAAATGATAAAACCCTTGCTGCTTTATAAAGACCCCAATCCCACTTGTCTTTTGGAAAAAGATAAAAACCGCCTTCCTGTGTTCTGGCGATCACACCCCAAAGTATCATTAACTGCTGCCCTCTTTTTGGATTGGTTTCATAATTGTTTTATCCATCAGGCCCGGAGTTATTTAATAGAAAAAAATCTTGAGTTCAGAGTGTTGCTAATTCTGGACAGAGGTCCCAATCACCCAGACTCATTATTCTTTGCTCATCCTAATGTTGATATTGTGTTCCTCCCTCTGGAAGGCACTAGCTATCTTCAGCCCTTGGACCAGGGTATAATTGAAGCATTCAGGAGGTATTACACTAAGCATATGTTTGACCACTTTGCTGACTGTATTGAAAAAAACCCCTGTCTTACTTTGAAAGAATCATGGCAACAGTACAACATTGCTGATGCTTTGGTAGTGATAAAAGAGGCAATGGATGATATAAAACCGGCTGCTCTTAATAAAGCCTGGTGGAAACTTTGGGATGATGTTGTGAATGATTATGCATGTTTCCCTAGAGCTAATGAAGAAGTTGCAAAAATCGTAGAGTCTGCAAAACGGATGGACTTTAAATTCCTTGACATTGAAGAGGGTGAAATTAATGAGCTGCTCAAGTTTCAGGCTTTGGCCATAACTGAGAGAGAGTCTGTATCAATAAATACGGAAGAAGACAAGTCCCCGGAACCAGAGGTAAAGATGAATTTAAGGAAATTGAATGCTGTCTTACGCCAGGCCTCAGACCTCATTGATGCTGCAATTGATATGGATCCTTTCCTGGACCGAAGTTTGGCCTTTAAAAAAGACTTCAATAAATTGTTATATACCTATAAAGAGGTACAGAAGAACCTTCAAAATAAAGCAAAGGAGTTGAAGAAAGAAAAAGACACAAACAAAGAGGAAGTAGTGTGGATGAAGAAGATGGATACAGAATCAGAGTCTGAAGGGGAGTCTGAATCTGAATCCGAGTCTAAATCCGAATCTGAATCCCATAAGGAGGAGCAGGTAGAGAGAAGGAAAGAGGACAAGAAGCCTCCAGAAGAAGATCCTGGACCCTCAAGCAGTGGCACTGAGACTCTCACTATATCTGAAGAATCTGCCAAAGCCATAAATGCAGAATTGGACTTTTGGAATCTAACCTTGGAATTGAATCTGGAGAGAGTAGATGTGCCTGAGTTAAAGGAAGAGAATCCAGAGGCAGTTCCTTCCAAATGACAGTTCATCTCTTGCCATTTTTCCCCTGTTGCCCCAACATCTCCCTTCATCATGACCATCCTTATCATCACCAGCCACACATCCGTATCATTTAGTCATTCAACAAACAGTTATTGAGCATAAGCTCTGTGGGGTCCTGTGCTAAAATTGGGGACATCATCTCAGGAAATCATCTCGGGATCTAAGGTAAATAGTCATTAACAGTGGCTACATTTCTTATTAATGTAATAGGTATAAAAGATCACAGTCTTGACTTATTTTACTGGACTTTGGATATAAAGGTTTTCTTAGGACCACAGCTTCATTTTCTCTACGCCAGTTTTTCCACAGATACTAAGTTCTTCAATCACAAATGGAGATTTTCTGAGTTAACCCTGGTAGTCAGTATGAGATTACTTGCTTCTGGATTTTGTTTGTTTGTTTAAAGGTTTTATTTTTAAGTAATCTCTACACCCAATGTGGGGCTCAAACTCACAACCCTGAGATCAAGAGTCACATGCTCTGCCACTGAGCCGGCCAGGAGTCCTGAGACTACTTTCTTTTGAAAAGTTGACATGGTCTTACGTTTTCTACAACATTCTTACATCAGTATTCTTTGTTAGTCCCACCCCCGCCCCCCGAAGGTGGCATTAGCCCTTCCTTTACCAACACCACCGTTGTCCCCCCCCCACCCCAGAGCTCAAAGAGATTATGTAATTGGCATAAGTCTTCACAGCTAACTATGTAAATGATAAGACCAGGGCTACAACTGGTTTATTAACTACTTTGTCAGACACTGGTGAGAAATGTGGGCCTTTAAGAACTTAGAGTCCCAAGGAATGAGACAGACAGTAAACAGATAATTAAACACAAAGACTGTGAACTGGCAGCCTGCAAGCCAGATTTGGCTAACAGATGTGTTTTGTTTGGTTTACCCAGCATACAACAATTTTGAATTGGTTTCCAGCATTTCCCCGGCTTGTTAAGGTACTGTTTACATACAATATAGAATTCACCAACATAAATGTATGTTGAATTTTGTTGAATTTTTTTAAACGCTTGTGTAACCACTACCACAATCCAGATATAGAACAGTTTCCTTAAGAAAGTTTACTTGTGGCCTTGTGTACTCAGTCCTTTCCCCTGCCCCAGAGATATCATTTAAAAATTAAGATATTTCACATAAAAAGCTGGATTAAAAAATTGCACACCCTGGCATCAGTGGACTCTGCATCCCCGAAGGGCAGCAGTCAGTCATTAGCTTGCTGCTCTTCTTACTTGTTTGCAGCTCCCCATAGTTGATGATGTCGAATGCTGCAACAAAAGTGTGTACGAAGTGCCTTAGGGGAAATAGAGGACTGTGGGACTAACCCTGCAAAAAGCTGCACGGAGCAGCTGGTCTAGAAAGATGAGTGAGTTCGTAGGTTTAAGCCAAGGAGAATTAGATGTGAGATCCTGGGAGGAGGAGGTGCTGTGGGGGGATAGGAAGGTAGGGGTGTGTGTGGGTGTGCGCACGCATGTATGTATGTGTGCTTCACTTGTTTTTGTAGGCAGGATGGGCCCCTATAAAGTGGAAGAGTTATGTGTGTGTGTATTAGTGTTTGTGTGCTGTGGTTTCTGGAAGTTTTATATATCTAAGAAACTTAGATCTCTTTATCTGTACATGTGGGGATTTTATCATTTTTTTTGTTGTTAGAATGGGAAGGGAAAATTAGTATTTTTATTTTTGGAGGGGTTGTAGGTCAGCATATGGTGTCTGGGTTTTTTGTTTCTAGGAAGAGAATTGCCTAGTGAGAATTACTCCCTCTTTCCCTGCCCCCTCCCCCTCCACTTTGTCCTCCCCGCCAGCCTGGCTGGGGCCTGGCTGGGCAGTGGGGCAGGCAGCAGGTGGTGAGGGGATAGGGCAGTGTAGGCCCTCAGTGCCCGCCCATCAGGTTGCAGCTCAGCCCGAGGCTGCAGTTTGCTACGGCTGTGCTACTGAATTACCAGCGACGCCATGGACAGGCTGGGCGCTCGGTGCCCTCTGCCAGGCTGTCTGCGGCCCTCTGTCCTCATATGCTTCCTGGTGAGTGTCCCATGCTACGGCTCTGTGAACTCTCTCACCCCTAGACCTCCAACCTGGGGAATTGAGGGGAGAAGGTGTGTTTCTTTTTTCTGCTCCTGGGATTTTGAGCTGGGAGCAGGCAGGTAGAAGGTGGAAGGGGAAATCCCCCGAGACACACGACCCCTTCCAACCCCGCCCCCCCACCCGTGTCCTGGAGAGTGTATAGCATGCTTCTGAAGATTACCAGCAACGCCTCACTCCCCATTTTGTGAGGAGGAAGGACTGGGCTGCGTTTCATTGCCAGGGTTGTCCGGGGAGGTGGTGGGCTTTCTGCTGTTGAGTTGTGATCTAGGGGTCACATGGTAGATTCTTTTAACCTTTCTCTTGTGGTCACCATCTCGTTTTTTTGTTTGTTTTGTTTGTTTGTTTGGGGTTTTTTTTGCATTTGAAGAAGAGTTTGGTTTTCTCATCTCTGAAATATCTTCAAATGTTAAGGTTGGAAGTGGCCACAGAGCACCACCAGTGGTGTGGTGGTGGTGTTTGAAGGGGCGGTGGAAAGAACTGTAGGAGACGGTCAGAAGTCTTGCTCACTTTTTGGGTGATTTCTTCTCTGTGGCCGTTACATTGCTCATCTGAAAAACTGGCACAAATCAGTGGCTCTTAACCTTTTTGGAACTGTAGATTTTCTTGATTTGTGTGTGTGTGTGTGTGTGTGTGTGTGAAAATTGTGGATTTGTCCGAGGAAAATGTATGGCTAAACACAATGTAGCACTCAATTCCAGAGTATCACAGGTTCCTTAAAATTAGGTTGATTACAAGCTTAGAACCACTGGGTGGCTTCTGAGGCCCCTTCTGCCTTAACACAGGTTGTAAAGTCAATCATAACCTCTTCAAAGCTATGTAAATATTCCAGGACAAAAAAAAATGGCAGAATGAAATATGAACCAAAGGGATACATAAAATATTTTAAAAGAATGTAAAATTAGAAAAAGTGTTTAGTAAAAGGTAAGTAATGAAAATGTTATAAAGACTTTAAAAATTATAGTGAATCTTTTTTCCATTATAATATTTCTATTGGGGAATATTCTGATGTGTGTATTTTCTGTCAATTTTGCATTCATAGAATGTCACAGAATATGTCATAGAATGAATATATTGTAGTCCACCCTTGATTCCAAACTGTCCTCTCATGCTTCCAACACATTGTTGCTAGGTCCACAAACATTTCTCAAATCTCCCTGTCAAGGGTGGTAAAGTCCTGCACGTGTGAAAATGAATGAGACTGTAGAGCTCATGCCCAGTGGGGGGAGACATGTGTAAACAGCTCTCTGTCCTTCACTGTGATCAGTGGAACAACAGAAGGATGTGAGCAGCAACTCTGGCCTCTACCTACCTACTAGATGCCAAGAGCATCTCCTCCCCAGTCATGACAGTCAGAATTGTCTCTAGACGTTGTCAGATGTCCCCCCGGGGGCAAAATTCCTCTGAGTTGAGAACCACTGGAGTATGTGAAGCTGAAATGACCCCACTAAACCCATTCCTAGGCATGCTCACTGCAGTTCAAAGAACCCACAGTGGGATGCAGGAGTCTTGGATTAGTCTTGGTTCTATCACAGAGTTTCTGTATGTTCTGTCTGTTACCTTGTTTGTGAAATGATGGGTTATCTTAGATACCTGAGGGCCCATTTACCTCTTAGCATTTTGACTATGAGTTCATATGAGAGTTTCAATACATTTTAGGTGAGTTTATAGTTAATCCTGTAAGTGCAGTTTCCCACTGATACCTACTGGCTGAAATGTTCCAGATCTTCCCTAGGAATGGCTTTTTTGGTTGGGGGACAGGCCACTACCCCTTTTGTCTAGATTCTGTGCTGGAAGCCACTTTAGAGTCATTGGAGCCTTATAGTGTTTTAGTATATCCAGTTCTCTGGTCAAAGCCAAAGCTGGTGACTCAAAAGCCCTATCTACTTCACTATTTAGTCTTTTTTTTTTAAGATTTTATTTATTTATTTGACAGAGAGCACACAAGTAGACAGAGCGGCAGGCAGAGGGAGAAGGAGAAACAGGCTCTAGGCTCCCTACTGAGCAGAGAGCCCAATGTGGGACTTGATCCCAGGACCCTGGGATCATGACCTGAGCCAAAGGCGGACACTTAACCGATTGAGCCACCCAGATGTCCCCACTATTTAGTCTTAATAACCACATCTTGCTGGTGTAATTATTAATTCACTAGTTTACAAGTACTTATTGTGAACCTTCTGCGTGCCATGAACTGTGTGGGGGGGTACAGTGATGAGCAAAGCACAGTGCCTTTCTTTATCGGATCAGTGATTACAAAGTCTTTTTCCTATCCGGTTTGAACCCATGGCAACTCTGAGATAGGCAGTAGAAGTGTCAGAATCTGCATTCTCTAAGTAACAGTTACAGAAGGGAGAGGAGGTAACTTGTCGAAGGCCACAGGCAGTTAGCAGTACTGGCACTAGGATTTAAATCCTGCTCTCTAGTGCTTTTACTTTTTTCTTACAGTCTAGTTGAGTTGTCATTAAAAAACACACACGTGCAATAAAAGCTTCACTGAGAAGCCTGGTTCTTTTGTTCTTGCGTGGTCACTGGTTTAGTTCAGAGGACTGGTATTTTGATTTGGAGGTGTTGGCGGAGGTGGTAGGAGGGATTGAGGAACCCAACCCAGACAGGCCTCTAGTCAAACTGAAACTCCAAACATTAAAAACGCTGCTCAGGCCCTGCCAAGAAGTAGGAGCCAGGCTCCAGGCAATACTGTGGAAGGAGTGGGAGGACAGAGGCTTATTTGAGTGAGGCCTGAGCCCTGGGCTGGGAGGCAGGAGAAGCGCACTTCTGTTCAGCCTTGCCTGAGTCACTGCGGGCCTCCTTTCAAGTCGCCTCTATCCTGTTAATGGCTCCATGATCTCCCCCAAGCAGAGAGCCCTGGAATGGAAGCCGTTCTCCAATTGTTTCCAGTTCCTCTTATTTTAAATGTTTATCATGAAAATAGTAAGAACAATTGTATCTTGAGTGTCTTTTGCTCTCACATTGTCACTGCCATCTTCTTTGCTCAAGATCTTAAGGTCTGTTTCCTAGATCATTGTAGTGGCCTTTTAAGTAGACGGCCTTCTGGTCACTCCTCTCTCTGTTATTCTTCCCAACTTGACCACGTTTATTACTGTCCTACCTAAAAACCTCCGACAGCACCCTATCCCATGAGTACAAACCCCAGACTCCTCTGACTGAGCCTTCTCTTTATAAGGCTAGCCAGTCTCATTTCCTCTTGATATCATACCTGCAGATTGGAGATCTCATCTATCCCTTAATACCTCTTGAGTTTGTACATATTAACGTTTACTAGGAGTACCTCCCTCTCCTCTTGTAAACTTACTTATGATTTCAGATCCAACTTAGACGGTACCTTCCCTTTGAAGCCTCTTCTGCTCCCTCAGGTACAACCTTCCTCTAGGTCCTACCACCTCTCAGTTACAACAACACAGGTCACATTACTTTGAATTAGGCTACCTTTTCCACTGGACTACCCACAGTGCCTGCACAGACACAAATGAATGGAGGTGAAATTAACTCTCTACGACATCAGTAGATCATTCATAAATAATCCCCATAGGATGATGGTAGTTCAGTGGATTCCAGTTGGCATTACCTCCAATAGCAGTTTTATACAATAAGAATGGATTTCTGCTCATCCAGATGACAATTCCTAATCTTGGCTTCACCAATTACAAGCTATGTGATCTTGATTTCTGAGCCTCCATTTTTTTTATCACCTGCAAAATGCAGAGGAAAATATTTAGGCACAAAAACTTAAGCACTAAAGCTCAATACAGATACCAGGAATTATTTTGTGGATGGGGAATGGGGATGAAAAAATGACGCTTAGCCTTGGTTACAATTTGCTTGAGCTGGCAGATCGTGAATTGGCCATGTCACTGCTGACCTGTGCTTTTTTTTCCCTACCATGTAGATCCTGACAGCTTCTTTCCTGTCATACCCCATATTCAGGACCCTTAGCCTGCGGCTCCATTCAGCTGTCACCGGCAGCTATGTTTCCGGCACTTACTCCATCGTCTTTGTCAACTGTCCCAATGAGCAAATTGCCAGAGATATTGCCAGGTACGGTGAAGGGGCTTAGGTGCTGCACCAGGAGGCTGGGGGAGCTATCGGGATACTCCACTATGTCCACTACACAGCTATCTGCTTGAGGTGATAAGAGAAGCATGGCTGTATGATCCCCCGACAGATCCTGCTGCTGGGCCTGAAAATGTTGAGTGGTGCATGGGAGCGTTTAAGGGATATGAGGCCCAGAGAGCTAGGTGGCTTGCCCAAGGTGTTAAGGTCAGAGGACAAGGGAACTCTGCAGGCTGAGAATTTAAGTCTTCTAATACTTGGCTCAGCTCTTTTTCTTCTTAGAGATATTCTCTTAGCTTACTCCTAGAGGTGCTCACCATGGCAAGTGAGGAGAAGGAGGCTATTCCACGTATTTAGCAAATTTCTTTCTTTCTTTTCTTTCTTTCTTTCTTTTTTTCTTTCTCTCTCTCTCTCTCTCCCCCTCTCCTCCTCTCCCCCTTCCTCCCTCCCTCCCTTCTTTCCTTCCTTCCTTCCTTCAAGATTTGTTTATTTTAGAGAGAGACAGAGAAAGAAGAGTGTGCGAGCAGGGGGAGGGACAGAGGGAGAGAGAAAGAATCCCAGGCAGACTCCCCAGTGAGCATGGAGCCAAATGGTGGGGCTTGATCTCACATCCCCAAGATCATAACCTGAGCCGAAATCAAGAGTTGGATGATCAACTGACTGAGCCACCCGGGCGCCCCAGTATTTGGCAAATTTCTTTCTTTCTTTTTTTTTTTTTTAAGATTTTATTTATTTATTTGACACAGAGAGAGAGAGAGAGAGCAAGAGAGGGAACACAAGCAGGGGGAGTGGGAGAGGGAGAAGCAGGTTTCCCGTTGAGCAGGGAGCCTGATGCGGGGCTTGATCCCAGGACCCTGGGATTATGACCTGAGCTGAAGGCAGACGCTTAACGACCGAGCCACCCGGGCATCCCAGTATTTGGCAAATTTCTTTAAAAGCAGCTATGGTGTGGTACAAAGAGCACTGGACTTACAATCAGACCAGGGTTTGAATCTTGGCTGTGCCACGTCAGTAACTGTGTGACCCTGGGCAAGTCGCTTTCTTTCTCAAAGCATTAGTTTTCTGAGTTACAGCATAGGATAATGCCACTTACCTCACAGGACCCTTGTGAGGGTTAAACAATAGGAAATATGTACAGTTCTTACCCCAGTAAAGTGGACATAGCAGATGCTCAGTAAATGTTTGTTGTATCTGAATGTCCCCCATCACTCCTTTTTATAGCTGTGACTTTGAAGAGGGTTAATGGGTCTGGAGGGTGATGGACTGGCTTACTCTATAAACTCAGCCATCTTGAAATTGATAGACTAAGTTACAGTGTTTTAAAATGTTGAATCTGGTCTTTAGGGACACAACAGCTTTCAAATTCTTGGTCACAGATTAACCTTGCAATTTATTCCATTTTTCTTCCCCCAACCAGAATGTCTATGTTTTCCCCATTACACAATGTTATATTTGGAGACTAGCACTTGCCTGAAAGAACCCATGATTACTCCAGAAATACGACCATAATATTTAGCAGCTAGGAATTGAAATCCCTTTAAAGCTTCTGGTGTACCTAGGGTATGTGCTAAACTGTTTGAATCAGCTGCTCTGGGTCCTGTCAGGGAACAGTGTCAGCTCACATCTGTGAGGTGGGGTATTGGGAGGACAAGGACTCTAACTCCTGGATCCTAACTAGTCGAAAGGCCAGTTCAGTAAATGGATCCATGTATGCTTGGGGAGAGGTCTCTGTTGACTTCTTGCATCCAAGGTTCTGTTGAGAAGTCAGGTGTTTGTTGAGTCTCGTTCTTTGTAGGTAATGCTTTTGGTCTCTGATTTTAGGAGTTTCTCTCTATCTTAATGTTCAACTATTCATTTGGTAAATATTCTTTCTCTATTCTTTCTGTGTCTGTTTCCTGGAACTCCTAGTTAGGTAGATGTTGAATTTGTTCTCTGGGACTGAACTTTTATATTTTTCTGTTTCTTTATTCTACACGCTGGGAGAATTTGGAGCAGTCTTCTCTCTTCTTTGTTTCTCAGCTCTTTTGCTATTCAGCCCTCCTGTTTTTTTGTTTAAACAATTATAATTTTTTAAAAATAGTTTTTTAATAGTTTTACTTTTCAAGATTTCTAATTATTTTTAATAACCAACTGCCCTTATTTCATAATTGATCATATTTTATGGATGCAATAATTTTGCCTTATCTCTCTGTAGATATTAATTATACTTAATATATTTTAAATTTTTTTCCAATTTTATTGACCAATTATTGACATATATAACATTGTGTAAATTTAAGGTGTACCACTTGATACTTTATATAAATACATATTGCTAAATGAGTACCACAGTAGGGTTAGTTACCACATCCATGACCTCACATAGTTACCTTTTGTATGTGTGTGTGGCTAAAACTTTGAAGATTTGCTCTCAGCAACTTTCAAGTATATATAATTATACTTATTTTAAAAGCTTGGTTTTGAAAGTTCTATTAACTGATTCTCTTGTGTAAATTCTTCTGTTTGTTCAGTTTTGTCTCTCTTGGTTATTGACCTTCCTCAGTTACTTGGGATTAATTGGGACCTCTCTCATCTTTTTTTTTTTTTAAAGATTTTATTTATTTATTTGAGAGAGAGAGAATGAGAGACAGAGAGCACGAGAGGGAAGAGGGTCAGAGGGAGAAGCAGACCCCCCGCTGAGCAGGGAGCCCGATGCGGGACTCGATCCCGGGACTCCAGGATCACGACCTGAGCCGAAGGCAGTCGCTTAACCAACTGAGCCACCCAGGCGCCCGGGACCTCTCTCATCTTTTTAGTCACGTTTGTTGGGGGGGGTGCAGAAGGGCTGCCAGGAATTGGCATTATGCAGCACTGTTTTCAGTGAGTGGGGGCTGGGGGCCCTCGTGACGGCTCTCCTGGCACATTTAGCGCTCCTGCCTGGCGACAAGCACTCCATCACTTGTGCCTGGGCCCTGGGAGATTCCAGGGGTCTACCTGCTCCTGCCGTGACATCCCAGCTACTCACCTGGATGGTTGCCTCCATGTTCCTGCCTGCTCTGGTTCCCCCGTGGCCTCCAGACAGGGACTGTTGCTCTCATCTTCTGTGGCAGTTCCCCTGCCTGCACCCACTCATGTCTCAGGGTGGCCTTTTCTCCTTTGGGGCTTCCTCGTAGTTGCTGGTACGTAACGCGTTCTTACTGGGTGCTGGCAGGGCTGAGTAATGAGCATTTCCTGTTGTCTCTACGGTTTGTTAGTCCACCCGCTTGACCTGCAGGTCTGAAGTGGAGCCTTTAGGGAATATGGCTGTGGGGCTCTCACTCAACCTAATTTGTTTCGTAGTTTTTATTAATGGTTTCGAGAGAAAAGAGGCAGACAGGTTTAGTTGCCAGAGTTTATAGAAGGAGAGTAAATGGTACATGATGGGGAGGGCCCCATGAACAGGAGCAGTCAGGAACCCAAGCTTAGCTACAGAACCGGCACTGAGACCAGGTCCCTTAGCTCTGGGCTAGTGGTCTGTCTTCTGTAGTGTTCTTTAGAGATTAGTCTGCTGCCTCTCAATTCTGGGTCAGTTCAGTTCTGGTTCCTGGCAGGTTCTTAGATCTCTTCATTGAAAGACACATCCTTAGCTAGAAAAATTACCTAGAAACATTTCTTATTGGGGCCGGGGTGAAAATCCTGAGTGTTGAATCAGAAGACCTGATTCTAGTGTCCTCTTTGCTGCCAACTCCACATAGGACCTTAGGCAAGTCTTCCTTCCCTGGGCTTCCATCTCCTGTATATAGAGGGAAATGGATTAGATCCGGGCGCAAACACAGATACCTACAGGCAGGCCCCTAAATGAGCAAAGTGGGCTGGAGTGTCATGAGGGCAGGTGATGGTGGATAGCAGCCCTGACTCTCCCTGTGTGTTGGGAGGAATAAGAGCAGTGGGAACTGTGTGGACCTGAGAAGCGGATGTCACGCCTCAGGGGAGTAGCCACTGCTCAGCTCTAGCTAAACGTGACCTTGTCAGACTGTAGTTCTAATGTTACCAGGCTTACTTTCTGGTGAGAAGATAGATAATCTGATTTTTTGAGTGTGAAATATCCTAATAATAAATATTAGTAACAGAGTCAAAATTTTTAAAAATTCTGGGGATGCCTGGGTGGCTCAGTCAGTTGGGCATCTGCCTTCGACTCGGGTCATGATCCCAGGGTCCTGGGATCGAGTCCCGCGTCAGGCTCCCCGCTTCGCAGGGAGCCTGCTTCTCCCTCTGCCTCTGTCTCTCTCTCTCTCTCTGTCTCTCATGAATAAATAAATAAAACCTTTAAAAATTTTAAAAAATTCTGTAAGAGCCAAACCATGTCTGTGGTCTGTGATTCACTAGTCTGTGAACTTGGCAGTTTCTCAAGGCCCTAAGAGCTCTATGTGTCTCTGTCCTCTGCTCTCCTCAGATGAGCCTGTGTGTCAGTCAGCTGATGTGCTCTCTTTTGCTTTCACGCTCTCTGGTTGTGTTTTTGTTTTTGTTTGGGGTTTTTTTTGGCTATAGGGTCGTTTTGAATAACACAGTCCTCCATATTTCTACAGTGTTTTACCTATGGACAGGTTGCTGTGATCAGTCACTGAGGAGTTTACATTCTGGGCCTTTGAGACAATGGGATTATTTTTTTTAAAGGTTTAACTCACTCCTTGTGTTTCCTTGCCACCATCAGGAGCAATAAAATGTCATTTCTCAGTGGACAATTGAATGAGTAAGACTTGCCATGGTTGCTTAAACAGATTTGTGCCATGTGCCTCTCCTTACAGTCAGGGACTTATTTAGTTCTGGAACTTTCCAAGGGAATGCCACATTAATGTGGAGCTTTAAAAAGAGTACTGTTGAACCTGGAACTGGAAGAGAAAGTAGGTCAGTTCTCTTGGCAGCAGCTGAGGGCAGGAGGGATCGGTGTGTAGGGCTCAGATGAGGTTGATCTGGCAGGGTCCAAGCACTTCAGAGCACAGAGACCAGCCCCCGCTTGGCGGCCTGAGACCTGAGAAAGGTTTGTCAGGGCCGGCCTGATTCTGAGGGCTTCCGGTTTGTTGCTTGGGAATGCTTCTTTGCATCGATGATTTGGTGGTGCCCCCATTTCTGTGACACCTGCACTAATTCTGTGTTCCCCGGGGCTCTGCACAGGAATCATAACGTCAGACCAGGAGCTCCAAGCTGTGGTCTGCCCCAAAAATCTTAGAGGTCTGCAAAGTGATGGCTGTGCTCTTAGAGCTATGGTGGAAACCTTTACATAAAAAAGGTGAAAAGAGCCTATATTTGCTAAACACAGGGTATGATTTTTTTTTTTTTTTTTTGCTTTTACTTGGACTTATAGCTGTTCTGTGTGGTCACGTGGGTATCTATAGATCAGAAGCAGTGAGTGTCAGCCCGACACATACCCAAGAGATAAAAGCAGAAGATGGTGATAGACTAAAATGATGGTGGAAGGGTTGGAAACCGCTGACGAACTGATCCTGTTATTGTACAGGAGAGTCAGCTTTAGTGAGGGGAACATCCCTATCTTGGGTAGGGGCTCAAATACTTATTCTTAGAATGAAAGAAAGAACATGGTTAAAGTCACATGCAAGGTCAGAAATGGAATCCAGGTCTTGTGTCCAGTGTTAATCAGTTTCCCTTCCCCAAACAGACTGGGCCTGTCCTTAAAACTGCCTTGCCATAGCTACTTCCTTCCTTTCCTCCCCACCCAGGGAAGGATTTATAACTGCGCTGTCTTTAGAAGTTCTGTGGTGTGCATGCTGGTTATGGAATGTGTTGGCTTGAGGGGGAAGGGTTGCTCTAAATGGTTCTCAGGAAACCAGAGTAATTCCCAAGAACTCCTGTCCCTTGTCCCTTTTCTTAAGATGTTGGGTACTTACCTTGGTGACGGTGACTCTGTCTGTTTGCTTTAGGGCTAGCCTGGATAAGAAGCTGGCTGCCTCTGTGAACATCCTGCCCAAGGCATCCTCACTGTGAGTTTTGCTGTGGCCTGTAGAAGGGTGTGGGGGTGCTAGGTCAGGTCCTGGCTGGTGGAAAGAGCACTCAACTGCTGGGTATTTGTTTAATGAACACTTCATTGTTAATTTGTATTCGGAGGAAGTCACCTAGTGGATTTCTGTCAACCAACAAAAGCAAAAATAGGCTGTGTATGGAGAAGGGAGGAAAAAGACCTATAGTTCAGAAAAAGCGAATCTTGTTTGCACATTCTTTGTTTAAATTAGTTAGCTTGCTGTTAGCAAAGAAGTCCGACTGGGCATTCCATCCCTGAGTAAGCCTGTTAGGAATATCAAAGAAAATAATTCCCACTGCTTTTGAATTCTCTGGAAAACTTTGAGGGGTTGGCTTATGTGACAAGCTGTTTCTGGGTTGTTTGCCTTTCATTTCTTTAACACCCTCACTTGAGTTAATTCTGGTCTTTCCCTTTCCCTCATAAAAATATGTCAGCATCCCAGTACTAGCTGTGCAGGATTTGTCTTGTGCCTTAATCTCTCCCATCCTAGCCTGTTTCTCATCTCCTTCTTCCCCTGGTTGGGTGGGGGGAGGGAGGGTGGGTGAGGAGAGAGAATATCTACTGTGAAGGTCAAAACAGAAAAGTGCTCTATAATGGAAGCTCCCTCCACACCCCTCCCCCAACGATGTCATCCCCTCAGGACTCACATCATCTATAGCTATAGCTCCCAAATTTGGCTGTGTTTTAGATTCCTGAGCACCATTCTAGATCTGCTCTATCATTCTCCCTGAGAATGGGACTTGGGTCACTGAATTTTTAAAAAATTGTGTAGGTGATTCACATAAAGCCTGTCTGGGAACCAGTGCTTGGGAACTAGAACAGAATTTCAGCCTCACACTCCCTTCATATGTCCATCCTTTTTATAATTGACCCCTTCACCATAGCACCAGTGGCCTAGGTCATCTTAGACTTGCCCTGAGTCAGTGTAGATATTTTCAGGCCAACTTTCTTTCCCTTCCATTGATACTGTTTTTGGACTCTTTTCTGAACTTCATTACTGACTTTGTTTTTTAACTTTTGGACCTGTTTTCATATGTTATAAGGCTCACTTTCCCTGAAGTCTCCTGTGCTTTTTTGATTATCCGTTTGTGGGCACTCCACTTTGAGAGTCAATAATAAAAGTAGCAGTAGTCCAAAGGATGGGAGGGGCCTAGAAGCCAGGAGTATAGGATGAGCATAGAAAGAGCTGAAGGGGTGCCTCGGTGGCACAGTCGGGTAAGTGTCCAACTCTTGGTTTCGGCTGAGGTCGTGATCTCAGGGTCGTGAGATCGAGCCCTACGTCAGGTTCCATGCTTAGTGCAAAGTGTGTTTGAGACTCTCTCTTATTAAGATAAATAAAATCCAAAAGAGCTGGAGATGCCCAGTTTGGAGGAGAGAAAACATAAGAGTTTCTGCAGGGCTGCCCTGAGGTGGCTCTTCATATGGAAGTTGGAGAAAACGACTGGGTGGCAGATGTTGGCATGCCATAAAGAAAACCGTCTCATGTTTTCTAGCCTGTAAGGTAGATCGATGGACTTCTTCAAGAGATGGTGAACCTCTCACCCCCAGGAACGTTTAGGCAGCTGCTAGAAGCATTCATTAGAATGGTTGGACTAGGTGACCTTTGGGGACTTGGCCAATTCCAGATATTTTTATGTGGGCTTGGAAAGATTTTAAAGTTTCTACCTTGGTAAGTCACCTGACTGGGCCAGGTCAGGCATCTCACTGGGCTCATCTTGTGAGCATCATAATTTGCTTTTGTTCTCTTCTTCTAGGTACTTTTGGAATGGAGAAATCGAAGAAGCCACTGAAATCCTGTTGGTGAGTGAGGATGGGGGGGTTGGGGCCTTGATAGAGGAAGAGTGAGACCAAGGCCTTTTCCCAGGTTCCAAGGAAAATTGAGCAAAGATCAACCGATTGAGGTTCTTGCCCCACATCAGATGCCCTAGGCTAATTTGTGAATGCACCAGTGCCTGGTCACCTGTAGGAATGCTGTTTCCTGAGTGGCCAGATGAATCAGTAGCTGCCCAACTGGGCCTGAGGTCCTCCCTAAAGCAGGGATTTTTTTTTTTTTTTCTTTTACAGCTAATAAAGACAAAGACTTCCAAGGTCCACGTGCTATCCAGCTATATCAGGTAATGTTGGCATCTCTTCTCAGGCAGGGACGTACTAGGGACTAAGAGAATAAGCTTGAAAATCAGGAGACTAGGGCCTAGTCACCAACCTCCCACATGACCCTGGGCACATCCCTGCCCCTCAGATTCTTCATCTGTAAAATGAGAGGCTAGAATGAGTTTGTTGACAATGGTTCTCAAAATTTTGGTCTCAGGATCCCTTTACACGTTTAAAAATTATCGGGGGGCCAGAGGAGCTTTGTTTGCATGGGTTATATTAAAGTTTATTGTGTTAGAAATTAAAACTGGGGCGCCTGGGTGGCTCAGTTGGTTAAGCAACTGCCTTCGGCTCAGGTCATGATCCTGGAGTCCCGGGATCGAGTCCTGCATCGGGCTCCCTG